TTAAACTATTAGGAGCATGAGGACCCCAGGGATGAGGGGTTTTAAGGCTTTCACTGTAGCTTGAAGTTATCACATCATATGCTCTTTAAAAATGTTTTCACAAACTGCAGTGAGGAAGTTTTTTTTTTCTTTTACTTTGAAGTTATTGCTAATGGAACTTACTCAGCAAATCTTATTATTGTGATACTTATATCTTAATTGCTGACATATTAGAGCAGTCATAATTGAGCATGGACCTTTGTGCCATGATGTTAACAGAGATCAAGAAAAAGTCACAAAAATGATGGAATAACAGGAGTCAGTGATTTGATTGCCATTGTGTTAATGGATGCCTGTGGAAATTACTGGATTATAAATGTGTTATATGTTTGTGATATGTAGTAATTTAACTATTTTTGGCTCCCAGCTGTGTTTCTGTGGTTTTAAAGTGCACTCGAATGTGTTTAGAGCTTGATGAAGTTAAAATTGGACCCCATTGTGGCTACTAAATGTCATTAGAGTGTGGTGTAATTTAATATCAATGTTTGTTGTCCTTCTCTGGTGACATATGTTTACAAATAAGTCTCTGTTTGTAATGTCCTTTGGACTACAAACATATCTGTAAGTAAAATACAAGTCTGGGGTGTTCTGAACACCTAACAATTTTATTGAAGTTAAAAAAAGATAGATGCACCTTTCAAGAGTTCAAAATTGAAGCCAAGTGTTTTACACCTGCATTCTTTCCTCTAGCCAGTAGTGGACAGCTCAACAAAACAAAAGTTTGATTGATTGTGCAGTCTTTGAAAAAATAAGGTTACTGTTCTCCTGTTAGATGATCTCAGTAACCAGTTCCTAAATGAGTTTGTGATCTATGGTTTATGGTCTTAGGTGTTAATTTTAAATCTTATTTTGGACAACATGATCTTGTAAATCATGTTCCCCTCTAGTGTCAAAAAGACAGCATAGCATTGGAGTACCTTATGATTGTCAATAGCTACCCAGGGGCAACCTCCATAGCTGAAAGACAATGCAATTGGAAAAAAAAAATAGTTCCTGTAGGCACCGCTTGAAGCTCACTCCAAACTG